CACGGTTCGATCCCCCAGCACCACATGCCAGCCAGCCCTGCCCCCTGGTGGGCTGAGCTGGCCACACACACACACACACACACACACACACAAATTTAGATTCTCAACGTCTTCATTTCCATTGATGAAGGACCTTTGGAAAAATTATTTGAAAAACTAGAGGATTGATATTTGATCCTAAAAAATAATCTACTACATGGAAATCATTACACAAATGATAAGAAAATCTATGCTTTTGTCTTCAAATATCAAGATGGTAATTTCTACAACCATCAGGCCCAGTGGCAGCTGGACTTCCTGAGTCCATGTTTTATCTTTCCAGGCTGCTTCAGTTCCCTTTGCCATCCATCATCCGCCATACTCTTCTCCACAGACATCTGTCAGACATGGGGATTTTCAATCTAGCACTTCTAGCCGTCTATCTATAGCCTATGTACTTAACCATCCTAGACGTGCTCCTCACTGCTTTCTAGCTGCTTCATGCAGAGATGACTTGCCTTCCTCTCAATTTTATTTTACACCCTCCCCAAACTAACAAGTAGGAAATGTGTAGTCAAAGGAAGCAGTGTTATTTACCACACTTCGGGTAGGATGCTAGCACGATGTCATCACTTCTGGCTTCGAAGGTGTCCAGTGCTTGGAAAGTTTCTGAGGTGCACATGGTGACTGGATAAGGAATCCCCTCATAGGTGAAAAATAAGCGAGAGAGTGTAGTTTCTTTTGATTTTTCTAAAGCATCATCAATATACTCAATGAACGTGGGGCTAGCCATGCTGTCTCCCTGCCAGTGACTCTACTCTGTGGCTGTTCCGGTGCAGTGACTGCTTTTAATGGAGCCTTTGGGAACTGGCAGAAAGAGCTCCTCCCATCCACATGAAAAAGGAATCTACTAAATGCTCATCCACCTCATTCTCTTTTACATTCCGTTCTCTGAAGAAAGGTAAGCCACAGGTGCACGACAAGCTGAGGAGCTTGGGATATTATCTCAAGTGCTGATTATGTTACCTCTCAGGCAACCTATTTGATAAAAGTAAGACTAAAATCTCCTAATAGAAGATTAATAGATATTAGATAGCAAATAAGTAGGCATTTAAGTGAATCAGGCACATGATTTTCCTATTAGCCATTTGCAAATGAAACCTCAGTTTTCTTCTTGGTTGGCAGCTTTCCATGCACGTCCTAAGCAGTTTGATAAGGAAACCATGGGGCTGCAGGGTAATGTAGTAGGGGTGGAAAAGCACCTGCATCTGGGGACAAACCTGGGCACTAGGCTCAGATCTGTCACTTACATATTTAGAAGTATCTTTGTTACCTATTGCACAGTAGAGCTATGTGGCTCATAGAAGAGAAGCACTGTATGAGGAGAAACTCAAGGCAGTGGCATCCCCAGGCCTCTTAGCTCAGCTCCCTGCTAGCCAAGGTCTTTGGATGAAATGCCCACTCTCCACAGCAGCGTCCCCACAGCCAGTCTGGCCCTTCCCTTTGAGGAAGTTGACTGCCATTCCCGCCTCCCTTGCAGCTTAGCATGGCTCCATGTAGTTGGAAGTGAGCCTAAGTGCTCTGTCTAGCTTCTAGGCATGTCCTTAAGACTGGAAGTTGATGCTTTTCCAATTCTCCTCTATCTCTTTTCCCACATCTGACTAGCAGGCATGATGCTTGAGAGGTAGATTTGCTAATTTGGGGGAAATTTTCATTTCAGAGGATAATAGGTACATAAACAGAGCAAATCTGGACACCAGGCAATCTTTGGATACAGATCCTATCATCCCATGACCCATACCTATCACTAACTTCCTTCTGAATTGTATTTGAAAGAGCACAACGTCTCTTGTTGGAGCTGCTGATTTGTTGATGTTTCTTTGTTACAGCAGTGTAGCCTATACCCTACCGAGTCAGTTTTTTCAGTCAGAACTTACACTTTAGATTCTAGTTAAGCAAAATTTCTGTAGATTATACCTCGTTTATTTCTTTCTCACTCTATTCTCCATATAATTCTTATCTACTATTGTTTTCTAACCCTCAAACATTATCTTTTATTATATTCATCCTTCGCTAAACTAATGGTAGCTAGGTAAGAAGTTAAATTCTAGATATACTTAATTACCTAGTTGTGAAGTCATTTTTGACTTAATATAGTAGTTGACATCATTGAGGTGTGTATGTACCACCCACTACCAGACTGCTGAGAATTAAATGAATGATTTAATAGATCTATGACATTGGTGTCTCTTTATTACCATTTTATAGGGACTTGAGTGAGGCCTATAAAGGCTAAGTAATTACCCGAGGTTGCAGAGTCAGCTCTAGGAGGACCTGGGATTGGAAAGCTGGCAGGACACCTGAGACCACGAGAAAAGGCAACTACAGCACCTGTGAGACTGCAAAAGTTAGGGGTTTAGTTGTTAGTGCTCATGTTCTTTGGTGTCTCTTTGCCTGCTAGGAGATACAAGGCCACAGAAACTTTCACTGCAAAAAAATTTTTCTTCTGGAAAGAAAGATTCTTATTATCACAAGAGAAATACATTTCCTGGGTTCTAGAACATTTTATTTAATAACAGTATTTTGGGAGAAGCACTACTATTAAATGTATAAATAGATTGTAAGATGATTCTCAATTTCAGAAATGTGAACATTTGAGATCCAGTCCTAGCCCAGGCCCAGTGAGTGTGTGGGAGAGCTTCTGGCTACCCTGTGCAGCGGGACCTGCAGGTCCAAGCCCAGGCGCAGCGTGGGTGGGACCCTTTCCCACCCCCTTGGAGCCCCCACCACCACTCCGCAGCACCCCACCCCACCCTGCCCAGTGAGAATTTCTGCTGCGTTCTGGGGACCCCGAGATCCAGTCCTAGCCCAGGCCCTGTGAGTGTGTGGGAAAGCTGCCTCTACCCACTACTCTACCTTGTCCCCTCCAGACTCAGCTCAGGCCTGACATACAGGCCTGAGGTGAAACCTTGCAGCTGCAATCCCTGCGGAGAGAGTAGAGGACAGAACCACCCAGCTAGTCCAGGAGCAGAACATCTTGCCAGAGGGGCACAACAGGTTCACTCCCAAGGGCAGCAGCAGGAAGGAGCTGAGCACAGCAGCCAGACCCAAGCCAGGTACAGCCGGATAACTCCAAACTTTGTAGATCTGCACCTGAAACTCAGTAGGTGCTAAGGTTATAACTGCACCAAAGCTCTACAACAAAGGTCAGAAGACAGTGCTACACAAAATGACATAGAGAAAGAGCAAAATGCAATCTTAGAACCCAAGCCCACCATAACAAATGCAGAGGACACTAACACAGAACAAATTGGGAATCACACAGCTGAAAGCAATGAATCAATGGCTTCTGAAATAAAGAAGCAGCTGCAGAAAGGTATAGAGGAACTCAGATTGGAAATGAAAAAAGAAATCCCTGAATTAATAACATCTGTAGTAAAGAATCAAATGCAGAAACATATGGAGGAAACCCAATGCCCACCCAGAACAAGTGCAGAGGACACTAGCTCAGCTCAAATGTATGAGTTAATAGCGTCAATAGTAAATAAACAACAGTAGAAAGTCATAGTGGAACTCAGTGCAGAATTCTTTTCTACTAGCTCAGCTCAAATGTATGAATTAATAGCATCGATAATAAATAAGCAGCAGCAGAAAGTTATAGAGGAACTCAGAGCAGAACTTTCTGAAATAAGAAAAGAATTCTCAGAACACATAGCATCTGAAGTAAAGAATCAACTACAGAAATGTAGGGAGGAAACCCAATCTGAAAAAAACACTGCAGTAAAAGAATTAATAACTGCTTCTAAAAAAGACATTGATTAAAAAAAATAGAGGAGATTAGAAAAATGGCGGATTCCTTGAATGAGCAATACAGGAAAGAAATAGATTGCATGAAGAAGAGTCAAAGAGATATAGAGGAATTTAAAATCTCAATCACAAGCTTGCAAAACCATTTAAGTGAAAGTGAAGACAGAGTTTCAGATCTTTAACACGCTGGTGCAGCTAGTGAAAAGGTAAGAAAGGAACTTTTAAAAACAAGTAGGATACAGGAAAAAATAATCCATCACCTGCAAGATGATGCAAAGATGAACAATGTGAGACTAATAGGCATCAATGAGAAAGAAGGAGTCAATACAAATGACATTTAAAAAAGTGGGCAGAAGAAATAGCAGAAAACGTCCCATATATGAGGAAACAATCTGACATTCAGGTAACCGAAGCATACAGAACGCGAAGTAACCTCAACCCAATGAAAAGCACACCGAGACATATAATAGTCAAGATCCCAGAAATGCAGCACAAGAATAATATACTGAAAGCC